CAACTTGCAAACAGCGTTATGTGATTTTATAATAGTAAGCGATAAATTAAAAAAAAACGTCTACAAAAGAAGTAAAATCCAACCGTGGCACCGAAAGTACCACGTTTTCTTGCAGTTTTCCAAGTTCGTCAGAAGATGGAGACCTTTTAACTTGTATATAATTACGTACAATTAATATTATAGCGACTTTTGAAAGTGTATATATAGTTACAATTAGTATTATAGCGACTTTTGCTAGCTGACATTTGATTTCAGAATATATAAGGATTTTGCACTGTATTGCTACTGAACATGAAACTACTTTAAATACTGGTACGTTAACCACCAAAAACTAAAAATCGAAAAAAATTGACATAGAGCACTTTGCAAGTGGACTGACTACACAAATGCTTAACTTTAGATATAGCTCATTTTTAATCCAACGTTTAAATATAATGTGAGCCTTTAAGTTAAAGGTTACTTCAGAAAACGGCCCTAAAACTATCAAATAAATGATTTATATTGTGTACACGAGATGGGTAGCTGGCGAGGCCTAGTCTCCAGTCTAACGTTATGTGCAGTCTATCTTTCCGCCGCGCTTTGGTCGGAAAGGCCGAGCTTCCTATCCATGTTCCCGTCGTCATTCATGGGCTAGCAGGTGGTTGGATAAACTAATTTCCTATCCGCTCCTTCCTTTCTCCTAATGCAGCTACTTTGATGTGAGGCAGACGGAAAGAGCTAGTTTGTTCTCCGCGCTATGGACGAGTTGCTGAGCGGGGTCGGATTGATCATCACACCGAAGAGTGTTTGGCACCTTAAAAAACTCACACATGAACTGTCAATAATTTCATTGAAAAATCACGGAAATTGGATCCTGTATTATTGTAGTAAATTTTAAAACTAGTTAGAAAGCTTGATTCAATAATTATTATATATTATCATGATTTGTAAGTACTATACATGATCAATCCGAATATAATAGCGTTTTCTTTTCTACAAAAAAATTTTGCTTTTTCATTGCCCTCTCCTTAGTATTTGTGCGTAGAGGGCATGGAAGGGCAACATTTTTCGGTAGAAAAGAAAACGCCATAAGACACCTGTATATGTTTAAAAGAGATCTATTATGGAAGGTATCAAGTTCTCCGTTATCCATACAATTATGACTTCAAGTGTATTTCGAACTCATCAATTCCACTTTACCCGTAGCGAAACTCCTGCTGGTCATTATTACCTCATATTTTTAGTGAGTGCCGATAGTCACTCCGAATACTAATATCTATGTATAAGTAAAGCAGGGTTCATTATTTAAAATTTTATTAATCAAAATAAATATTCATAAATGTAGAAAGAAGTTTATTACAGACCGTTAAAAATGAAATAATAAATCGTTACTTATGCATACATATCGTTGTTTAAAGTACAAAACCGCGTATGTGTGGTTACATAAATTATTTTGTAAAGTGTAAAAACACTTATATTTCAAAATGGTTTCCTCTTTTATAAAGCAATCCCATTTCTGGCTAGTATATTTCAGTACGAATGGATAAGGCTTGAGCCAAGAGCTTCTGTGAGCAAATCCAATTTTTGGCAAAAACAATACTGAAGCGTCAATTACGCGGTTTTGCAGAACGAAGATACGCGGTTTTGTACTTTAAAGGACGATATGTACTTATGTACAATCTGTAGCTTTCAATTAATTTAGCTTAAGTGACTTACTAAAAAATAATTAGTTTCCCTTAAAAAATTTTGATTTTTTTATTAAGCTTCTAATAAACTTTTCAATATTGTTTGGGAACCAAAAAGGCCTATTCCTTTAAAGGGCCTATCCCGACTTAGGCTACTTTCATTAAACGACATAGTTGTATACATATACTATTTTTAAATTAATAGTGAACCCGCATGACGTTAAAACACCCAAAATTTGATTCAAAAAACCTAAAAAATATTCCAAATGTTAGTCAGAGTTATAGGCGACCCGAGTACCATATTTCATTTAAAGCAGCCGTCTCTGAGTAAAGAGACGTCTCGCAAAGTGCAAACTTTTAATTTCCTCGAATTTAAAATCACCCTATACAAATAAAAAAAGTTCTTAAAGAAAACTAAACTAAAGGTCAGAAGAGTTTTCAAACCCATTTCGATTGATCCCATTTAATAATTCGTTTAACTTTTTTAATTATCTCAATTTAACTTTTTAAGCAGATGGTAACCCTCTTTCAATTATCAAGTTGCCTTAATTCAAGTTGAATCTGAATTCTTAAACATATATCAGAAATAATGCAAAACCCCATTTCGATTGATACCCACCTTTTAAAAATTCATCTAACTTGTTGAATAATTTTAATGTAACTTCTCAAATACGTGGCAACCCTCTTCAAATATTCCAAATGTTAAAACTAAAGATTTCTTAACAATCCTTCGTTCGACTCCCGTATTGTTGTTTCATATAATTTTTGTATCAGTTAACCTAACGAGACCTTTCAAACGTGTGGCAGCCCTCTTCAAAAGTACTTTCAAGCTAAAACCTTTTTAACTCTGCTTCGTCTGGCATTACAATACATATTTTAATTAACTGATGTATTAAGTTGTATTTGATTTTTTAAACATGTGGCAACCCCCTTAAATATAGTTCAGAAAAAAATAATTTTCAAACCCCCTTCCATTGATACCCATATTCTCACAATTCATTTAACTTATTAAATAAATTTAACTTTGGGGTAAAATTTTCGAGTGACGAAAGCTAAACTAGAAACACAAAATTTATGATATCAATTTCGTGACGAAAATTAGACGCATTTTTAACTGCCTTGGAAACGTACGCAAAATCTTTTTTATTCATACGAATCGTTGCAAAAGTTCTGTTTTTTGTTTTGTGTTTCTAGCAGTAGACGCATTTTCGCAACGTTCCGAATAAATAATAAAATTATAGTTTAAAAAACTAAAACCTCGCTATTAAAATTTCCATTCGTACTGTCATCAGGTTACTTTAAGAATGGAAGTTTAAAGCAATTCTCATTCGTCCTGTCATCAGGTATGTAACTTGAATGGAAATCGCTGCATCTTTTAGGCGCATCAATATTACATATATGTATATGTATATATATATATACTTATAAGTTGCGTTTTTTTACTCATTTCCAGTAAAATCCAGTAAAAGTTTTTACGAATTTTCATGTTTTGGCGTTTTCGTACGCAAAAACTTGCAAAGTAGGGGAAATTGAGAGAGCGAAAAAAGACAGCTGAAATTGCAAGTTTTTACTGGATAAATTTTTACTTGTAAGAATTTGCCAGTACGAAAAACAGCTGATCGCATGTTGCTGGATGAAATTTAAACTAATAAGGAAACTGTTTGTGGCTTTTTATTGTGGAAATTCACAAAATAAACATATTTAAATATAAAATATATTGTTTTATTAGGAATATGCTGCGAATAAACAACCAATTAGCTGTTCATGAAACTTGCAAATTATTACTGGAAAAGCGTTCACGTACTTTTTTGTAAATTTTTTCTATGAGAGCGAATTCCAGCTGTTGCTTGAGTCTTAGTTTTGAAATTCTAATTTTTTTCTCTCCATGTCGCTTTTTACTTTGTATTCATGTTTTAATTTTGCGAATTTAAGTTTTTGTCTCTCTATTTCTATTTTCTCTTCCATTTGTTCCACAGATTTCTTATTTGTTTTTCCTAATGATTTTAAATTGTAATTTACATCTTTTAAAATGCGAGTACAATCTTTGTGGAATTTTGTTTGCCCATCCACTTCAAAAGATTGCTTTTTCTTTGAGTTCGGGACCGCATCGTACTGCAATTGGGTGACGCCTGGGAACAGGAAGGAGGAGTACAAGGTGGCAGTTCTGCACGATCCTGCAAATCAGTTGCATAATTCGGAGTGGTTGGAGCAGTTTCACATTCGTTGCTGTTAGGGGCTTCATTTCTTCCTGCACCGAATTTTTGAGCACCGGCTATTCCATCTACTGCTTCATTTATTTGCAACAACTCCATTACCCTTAACTCCACTGAATTAAGGGAATTAATTTTTGCAGGGCCACCACCAGTTCCCGACATGTGCAACTTATTTTTGCGCACTTTGGCTTTGAGGTGGGTCTTGTAATCCGCCCAAACCATAAATATGTAAATAAAAACTAATAATAGTTAATAATAAACGAATAAGCAAATGTAACATTTTCTAAAATTTAATTCCTTTTGCTTTATTAAAACTGTACTTCATTGAGCGGTTCATTAGCATACAGTATTTATCATAACCGTTATACCTTGAAAACGGTACTTTGATAGGTCGTACGACGCGTGACTCGTGTTGCAGCTTTAAGAGTTAACATTATTTGGTTCACACTAAAATTACCTTTTTCCATGAAGATGCATCCCGCGTGGGTGGTCCATCTCCATTTAACTGTTCCGTCAGCCGTCCCCACAAATTTTTGGAAGTTTGCTTAGCATCAGCGCACTTTATGTGGCCTTTGGCCAAACTTCGATGCGTTTCCATAAATTCCACCATAATTCCAAATTGGCTTTGTTTTGTATGCTGGCTTTTGCTGGATGAATGCCTAATGAAAAATATTTTACGTTTACAATTGTTATACTTAAAAAAGAGTTATTAAAATACTTACATTTTTCAAATAGTATTCCGTTTCTACAGCTCAAACGCTAACGCGTATTATTTGCGAAGATCGAATGAATTTGACATTCAAATTCGAGTTACATAGTTGCCAGTTTTCGATTTTCGAATATACTATTCGAAATTAGAATTGCAAATGCGAAAATAGAGTTACCAAGTACAAAAAATTCGAATTCGAGCAAATTTATTTTCGAATCGAGTTATAGAATAGGGCCCCTGACCTTTTCAACCAAAAAAATGTCATAAATAACTACTGAGGTTGGCCTTTATTTTCGTTGGCGATTCCATTTCTCACAGTAATTAACCGTAAGCTCCCTCGCATAAAACGCTTTCAGAGTGATATACCACAAAAAGTAAAAAAATAAATGGTTAATGATAGGAAAAGTTACAATGTGTTATGTGTGTATGTACTTACGTATGTACATATATGCTCATTCTTTATTATATTTCATCAAACTAATTGCATACGTACTAATTTTGCTAAGTTGCTAATTTTTACATCACAATATTCAAAGATATTTTTATGTACATATTTAGCGGTTTACTTTAATGTTAAATTTACATTTGGAAGATTTGTTTTATTGTCAAAAATTACAATTAAAGTGTTATTAGTTAATTTTCAAAGTGATTTGCTGTTTTTGTGCACATTTGGAAGAACACAATACAAATAATGCGTTGTGGCAATACTTAGCGATTAAAAGCGATTAAAGCGCAAGCATATTATTGTAAACCTTAGTAGATTAATACGATGAAGTGAGATTATTATCTCCAAGCCTTCAAATCTGATTTCTAGGCACTATCACAGCCTTCGTCAACTATAGCAAACCTTGTTCAGTTCAACTTTTTATTATCATTGCTGCTTGTCGAAGGAATTGATGTTTTATTATTAGATCCCTTGTGTTCTAATGAAGATGGTGATTGTGTTACTTTCGAATCCGAGTTTGTTGGTGTATTCGGGTAAATAGCAAAGAGCGATAATTGTATAGAACTCAGGACTAATAGGAATAGGTTTTGGTACTAAATAGAAGAATATTGTTATTAATTAAATATATGTATAAGTAGGTAAAACATTTTCTTTTCACTTACGGCCATCATTGGATTTCGAATAGAAATTGCATATAGGGCCCAACATGCCGCTACTAGCGTGCCTGTAAATATAATTGGAAATGGCATGCCGGCTGTACTCTTTTTTTCGATTATTTTATTGAGTCGTAAGAGTGGAGATCCAACTAAAAATACCAGAATGCCGGTAATGAGCATACCAAAACGGAATTCAATCTTCTTCGGGTCTTCAAAAGTGGCGTACGCTAAGCAAGCTACCGTAAATGCTCCAGCAATGCCAGTTTTTGACCATATTTTCATTTTGCTCTCATTCGAAGCATACCAATAGAACACCGTCCAGAAAACGACATTAAGGGCGAAACCGAGGATATTCACCGTTATAGTGGCAGAATCGCCTATCAATGTACCCATCTTTAAGGTGAGAACAGCACTGAAAATAGGAGATATTTAATTTTTTTTTTATCATTTGGTCTCTAAAATGTCAAATGTTTTAAATTTTTTCTCATAAAAATTATTAAGTCTCAAAAGATTTTTGTATGAGAAACCTTTTCCTATACAAAACAAGCAACTTTTGGAACGTTCCCCAAAGAGCTGGGTTATGCAAGACTTAAACTTGACTTACCTAGAAACTTAGAAACAATTACTCAGCGTGTCACCTATTACTTTTTCTCCTTGTTTTGATTCTCAGGTCTTGTATTTGTACACGTAAAATTGTAAAAAAAAATTAAATAATAATAAAAAAATAGATAAAAAATTACAATTAAAATAAATGTATTTACGCTTTCAAACTTTTTAAATTTTATTTTCTGTCTTTATTTGAGAGTTTGTTTTTCGATTGCCAGATGAATTACATTTATACAAAAAAGTATATTTGTGTGGCATGATTCAATAATAAAAGGTTTGCTCAAAAAGCAGTTTTCTCGCTCCCTCTTGACAAAATCGGCTCCCTTAAGGTGTTCTTACACGATATGTATTTGCATCTGTAAATGTGACTTTTTCAATACATATTTAATTGCGTATGTCTGTCAAATTCACAGTCTTTATTTAATTATTTAAAAATACTTTCTTTGAAAACGATATAAACTAAACTCAGATGATTCTATCTGTGTGCCAGATGAAAATAGAAACATTCCTATTTCGTATGTACGTGCATCTGCTTTGTAAACAAACAACAGAAACAAATCTAATTTTTTCTTTACACGATATGTTGACATTTCCATATGTAAAAGGTGGCATGTACACATGCAAACACATATCGTGTAAGAACACCTTTAGCAAAGCACTGTGTGTGGGTTTTTGTGTGTGTGCAAAGCTTTTGTAAGACAGCTAAGGGAGTGTCAAACGTCTAATGTCAATAATGAGCAAACCGTTAATTATTGAATCATGTTTTTGTGGCATATTTGCAGGGATTTTATTAAAAAATTAAAAATTAATTTAACTTAGAAATCCAAAATCTATAGTTCTTCAAGTTTCTAAGTCAAGTTGTTTTTTTGGGTAACTACATACACGCGCTGCTCATTTGCCAGATATACAATTTTCAAGTCAAGTCTAAGTCTTGCATAACTGAGCTTTAAATCAGCAGCACAAACGCTAACTACTGGGTCTTGCAAATGAAGGATCAATACTTCGAGAAACAAACAAATTTACTAAGAAAGTATTTCATTTTTTTTTTCAAATTTAATTTTTATTTGTTTGTGTTTCACATGGTATACTTTGATTTACAAGAAAAAAAGTCAGAAACAGTTTTTGACACTTTAGATACTAGAAGCAACAACAAAATACACGTAAATGTAAAAATTTAACAAAGTTTCATATAAATTTTATATTTTTCAACAAGGCGAATTTATATAAGGAGGTGTTGTTTCATCAGCTGTGAGTAGCGTTTGATTGTCAAAATATTGTATTTCGCTAGTGAGTGAGTGAAAACGTGAGAGTGTTTGTATTTTCTATCGCCCTTTTTCCTTCGGGGAAGAATAGCTGAAATTTGACAATGGCCCGCTAGAAGCAAAAACAAAATATAAGCAATTGTTGTATTTGTTGAATCGATACCACCTTATATATATTCGCCTTGTTTTTCAATTATTTTATTATTTTATTTTAGTTTTATTTCCATCGAACATGTTGTGAGATGAGAATTTATAAACCTTTAAAATTATGTATAATAATCTATTGTCAGACTTGGATTGTCGGGATTTTTCATCGTGTAAATTAAAAAAAAAAAAAACATTTTTTCATATTTGTTTATGTTTTGACCATCACTTATTTGGTATACACATTGCTCTTAGGCTCCTTAAATCGGACAAAAACCATGGGCCCCACCAACGTAACGGTAATTTCAAAAAAGCCAGATTTCAAAAAAATTCAAGGCGGTGCTTAATGTATATAGTATATATATTCGGACGAATTGATAACCTTCTCCTTTTTGTGAAGTCGGTTAAAAATCTACAAAAATATGCAATCTATCTATCTTATATATATAAAAATGTTGTGTTCGTATGTAACGGTCGTCAAAACTCGAGAACGACTGAACCGATTTCAATAATTTTTTTTTATATTATGCGGTATAATACCAGAACCAATGATATCGCAAAAAATTTAAGAGTTGCCACCTATTTGAAAATTTGTAAACCCAATTATATTGATTAAAGTAATCAATTATTACAATATGGGGAAAGAGGTTTAAGAAATACATCTGCTGGAAATATTTTTGACGAGTTTAAAATATAGTTCTAAATATTTTATTTTTTTTTATTTTAACTCAGTAGAATTGATAAAATAAATGAAATATTGCAATGTGGGTGTCAAACTAAAGAGTTTTAAACAGGCTTACAGCCGAAATTATGTTTGAGGAGGGTTGCCACCTGTTTGAAAATTTAACTCGATTTAATTTATAAAATAAATGACATATTACAATATGGGTATCAAATTAAAGAGGTTTAAGAAAGGACTGTAGGAAATATTTTTGAAGTGGGCTATCACCTATTTGGAAATTTTAACTCTGTTAAATTAATCAAATAAATTAAATATTGCAATGTGGATATCAAACTTTAGATTCTTAAAAAGGTTTACAGCCGAAAACATATTTGAGGAGGGCTACCACCTATTTGAAAATTTTAACTCTGTTAAATTAATCAAATAAATTAAATATTGCAATATTGCCGAAAACATATTTGAGGAGGGTTGCCGCCTGTTTTAAAATTTAATTCAATTAACATAATTGATAATATAAATGCTTTATTACAATGTAGGTATCAAATTAAAGAGGTTTAAGAAAGATGACAGTAAGAAATACTTTTGAGGAGAGTTGCCACCTTTTTGAAAATTTAAATTGGAAAGCTTAGTATGTTGCCGTAGGTTGTCGTAGGTTGCACCAATGTATTTTCAATATAGACCTTTAAAATAAATAAACCAACAAAAAATTAGTCCTTTGTCAAATATGTTTGATTTATTATTATTTATGTATGTATATGTACAAATGTAAGACGGATGCGGACGATGGGTGGTGGCTGAGTCGGTTTCTGGTTTAATACGGGGAAAGACGTGCCCGCGCCAATAGAATTGAGTTAAACCTGAAAGCAGTAAAACTGTTCGGAGGGTAAACTCAACGATAGTTAATTTGGCGGGAAAAGTTGATGACAGTTTCTAATAAATACACCTATAGATGTGTGCGTACATATGTAAATTATTAAGCACTAAGGTGGACCGTCTTGGATTGTTTGGTTTAGTCTAGAGGCCTAAACACAGTTAAATTGATTAAATAAATGAAATATTGCAATGTGGGTGTCAAACTAAAGAGTTTTAAGATGACTTACAATCGAAAATATGTTTGAGATACAATATGGGTACCAAACGAAAGGCATTTGAAAAATCTTTATTTGGAAATATTTGCAGTAGGATTATCACCTATCTAAAAGTAAAGACTGAAAATGGTGAAATTAAATGAAATATTTCTTAACTGGTTCAAAACGAAAAGTGTTTGGGAAAGCTTTACTAGGGAATTTCAAATCTTTCCACTTACCCAAATTTCGAACAATTTAAATAAATAGATAGAATTTACAACATCTTATCAAACGAAGTGATCAACGAATATTAAGACGAATTTTATTGCCTGATATTTTTTGTAACTTAGAAACATCGAAAGGAGAACTGATCGAAAGAATGTTTCCTTATTAAGAAAATTAATTATAGGAATCACGATTAGCTCAGTGAACGGGCTATTCTTGCTGCGTAGAATAAGGATGTATATCAACTAAATAATAGTGACGTTGACAACAGTCGTTGCTTGAGCGCTGATCTGCTCTTTTACCAGACTGTCAGCCCACTTGCTCACTTTGGTGAATACCACTAATGTTATTCAATCCAGTATTCAAAGTGAGGAAATAGCTTATACGCCGATGAACACCGTTGTGAAAAAAGACGAAGCAGTTAATTATCCAACGGAATTTTTGAACTCGACTGATCTTTCAGGGATCACTGAAATTGAAAATAGGTGTCCCAATTACCATATTGCGTGTTCCTGTTTCGGCAAACCAGATATCCTTGATATCTATGCAGAGAATGGAAAACAACAATTACAAAATCAAACACATATGAAACGTATATATGACTTGTTTCGTTAGTAATTTATCATCCATATAACAGGAATATGACTACAAATAAAATTCGAAATTGTATTAATGAACCACCAAAGCCTGATATCGGCGATACTGCAAAATGTTCTACATGTACATATCTCGATTTTTATGACATGGTCGGTGGAGTGTTGCTCAACGCCTAAGTAACCAGTTTTACGCGGTCATACAACCACGCCAAGGTTTGTGATTGGTTGCTGACGCAGAATACAGAATTTACAGGTGCGTTAAATTGTACTTACATATGTATGGATATATGTACAAATGTAAGCAGTATTTCTCGAAGTGCTTTGATAATGTTAAGTACGTAATTATATAAATTTGACAAGGAATGCATTTTAATAAATATCTATTTGGTGTCAGCATGCCATATACCGGTATGTAGTTCATACGTATTTAATGTTGAATTTTTCTTATCATGTACATATGTACGTAATGTAAATGTGTTGCAAATAACGTTTATCGCTGGTGCCTTTGAAGATTACGGCTATCAAGTGGAAAGTCACTTATTTTTGAGTAGTTATGCAAGCAATATTTAAGCGGAACACTAGATAAGTTTTTGAGCAAATTTTAATGATTTTTCTTTTTAAATGTGGGTACATTTGCATGCATATATGTATGTATAAACGTACCCTTACGGTCAAATAATAGGGTCAAAATTCAAAATTATATTGTTGGGAACTTATGTTTATTTATATATTTTTAGCATATACATTAGGCTGCATCGCTCCACATACAAAAAAAAAAAATCGGTACTATTTTTCCATTGGAATTATAAAATCTATTATATTTTAAGACGTCCACCAAAATATTTCGGAAAAATATTAAGATTTAAGTGAGCTGGACCGATTTGAAAATACCTCCAAAAAGACCCAATGAAGATTTTTAATGAACTCAATGTTTTACTTTCGCATCTATGCTCCCTAGTGGTTATTAGCGCGGACACATTTGATCCTATATGCTCCCCTTGGAACCATACCTTGCTCCATTTCCTCAGTTGTATCACAGTTTTGAAGAGTATTTAAAAACAAAAGTAAACACAAACGCTTTTGACCACGAAGCCGAGTAAAATAATTCGAGAAAATGGTTGCTATTTTATCACACTTTAATAAAGGAATTACGCCAACACCTCCCTACAAATATTGCCACACTAAAAAAAATTGACTTTTTTCGGTTGGAAATGCATTAAGAGTAATTAAACCAAAAGTATTTGTTCAACTACAGCAACAAAAACACAAATATAATGCCGACGAAATAACATCCATAGAGATGCAATGGCAACGGTTAACGTTACATACCTGCAGTAATATAGACTCAACTGTAAAATTTTGGGCCGAAGTTTATCAATTTCGAAATGCCCTAGGAGAAAACCCTTTAGCTGACCTTTCCAACCTAGTTTTTAGTTTTCTTGTTTTGCCTATAAGTAATGCAGAGTAGAGCGAATATTTAGTTCAATGAATATAATAAAAACTAAGCAAAGAAATCCAATGTGCGTTAAAACGTTAAACGCTCTTTTATATATAAGATAGGTTTAAAACGT